TTACGTCTATGGGTGAATTTGACTGCGACAATGTTTCAAAATTAGGAAGGGAAGCAGTGATTATTTGATTATATAGACGCTTCGCCTCTGAGATTAGGGGAGAGATGTTGTTTGGTTTTTATTTAATCCCATGGAAACGGAGGCCACACTAGATTTTGTTGACGTTTCTTAAACAGTAAATAACTCACTTGTTTCCCAATTAAGATGCTGCTATTGTGCATTCATATTAAGACACAATAGATCAACAAAATTCTGTGATGTGTTTTTTTTCCTTTACGAATTAGAAACTGCTTCATTATTTATTTTTTTTTACATTGTACTGGAGGCCGCAAAGAAAAAAAAAAACATTCAGTAAAATTCCGCACTCCAGACATCAACACCAAACATTCAACTACTAGTTTTATTGTGTTACATCTTCTCTTCACCCTGTGAAAATTTCAGGAAAATCGAATGAAAAGTGGTAAGGAACTGTTTTTAAAAGTACATAGAAATGGAGCTTTTTGAATAAATGAAATTTTTTTTAAAGAGTACAAAACCGTGATGCCTCCCTAAAGTATTCAGTGCTCAGGGCCACAAAAATTTAAGAAAGGTTGGGGGTTTTTTTTGGAGCAATATAATAACTGTAGGAGAGGCTAAAGAAGTTTTAAAAAATATGTCCACATCTCAAAAATCGATTTTGTCAGCTGTAGGCTATACAGAAAGTATGCATAAACTATACATAGATTATACAAGAACTATACATAAACTACACGTAAACTATACGCAAGCTTAGTGTACACTGTGCGTAAACAGTGCATAAATCATACAGTACAGAAACGCTAAAGAAGCTAATAGTTGACTAACCTGCCGTGATCTGTGTCAGCAGTGCACAGACTGGTCAGGGGAAGAAAAACTTACCGTGCGTCAAGCTGTGTCAATTGTAATGTCCGGGTTTTTGTTGTGCGCAAAGTGGACACTCACGAGGAGTGGACAGTGAACAGCGGACAAGACCTCGTGAGGAGTGGACAACACAAGGCCTCACTCGTGTCACCACCGGACACAGCGCCCTGATGTGAGAACAGATGGGCCTTGGGGACGGAGCAGGCAGAACACGATAGGGCTCTCAACAACACACAGACAAGTGGGCCCTCCAAGAACCAGCCGATGATAACGTATGCGGATTCACACCGTCAGCGCTTAATAAACAATGCACCCTGGCAATGACACACAGTTGAATTGAGT